AGCGGAGCGAGCGGTGCGGCGGCGAGCACGTCGAGCGCGTCCTCGGGCAGGCGTATGCACCCGTGCTTGCCGCACCCCGCGTACAGGAAGCCGATGACCAGCGGCAGGAGCAGCATCACGCCCGCCGCGCCGGCTGGGCCGCCAAACTCGTACTCTGGCTGGGGCTTGCCGCCAGCCTTGCGTGCGGGCTTCGCCGACGAGGTGGCGGGCGTGGAGCCGCCGGCACGCGACGGCGACTGCGACCGGGCCGGCTTGAGCCCGGCGAGCCGAGGAGAGGCGCGGGTGGGGCGGAGTGTGTGTGTGCGGAGCATGTGTGTGGGGGTCCTTTGTGCTCGCGCAAAAGAAGAATTCTAAGCCTCTCTAACAGCACACTGATTAAAATCCCTGTGTGGTGGCGGCGTGCCGTTCTCCCATCCCTCCCTTGGGTTGTCTGTTTTCTTTATTTCTTTTAGCACACTGAAAAGAAGAATTGCGTCTGCTTCGGAGCTGTTGCAGCGAGAATCGGCGAGGGACTGCGAAGAGAGATAGCAAGAGGCGGACGCCCAAGGGTGGGCGACGGCTAGCGCACCACACCCCTCTCCTTAAAATCCCGGTGTGGTGGCGGCGTGCCGTCCTCCCATCCCTCCCTGCCTTGTCTGTTTTCTTTCTTTCTTTAACAATTATGAAAGGTGAACGTGAGTGAATGAATGTGAGAGGGTCGATCGCGCGCCTTGCGTCCCTTCGCTGTATCGCTGCAGTGTGTGTATCGCGCGGCTTGCGGGGGGGGCGCGGACGGCTTTTGCTGTGCCGACCAGCGATGAGCGCAGCGCGTGGCAGCAACGTCGTTAGCGTTTCGGGCTCGCCGGCATTCATCTCGACTTTGGCGGGCGGTGGTAGTGAAATCGAGCCTCGCCAAAGCTTCTACTCTACCATGATTACGTGCAATGGAGGTGTTGCGTACAGCCCCGATTGTAGCCGAATATACGTTGGTTTTTCCCACGCATCCAATCCCCAAATCCGCTTCCTCGACCTCGAATCTCAGATGGTCGATGTGCTCTGTGGGCTGCCTGCGTCGCCACAGGCC